ATGCCCCCATTGAACTCACCACCCAGTCATCCGCAACAGTTTTGGGTACATCCGTGAGTTTATATTTGGTCAGTATATAGTCGTAATTAGTTGCTATCTATGCCATTTCTTAGGACACCAGCATTGTATGCTTTTGATCCATCACCAGACAACGGCTTTGTTTGGTCTGGTGCGCAAAGACCTGACTTGGGTGTACCGCCGCCACCATTACCATCTACCCGTGCAAGCGAACAAGCACTAGATACTGAACAGCTGATGATGAAGAGGAACGAAATCATAAAGTTTGTTGATGCCTAAATTTTTGGTGCTTATCTTCTCGAGGTGTTTGTGATCATAAAATTTTATTTTCCTCATCCCAGCGATCTATAAAGAGCATATATCTGTTTGTATAGATAACTATCTTTGCCATCAGTCAACCATGTTTGCATTTTTTGGATTGTGTGCGATGTGCATCATACCATATGCATCATAGTAGCAGCTCTGATTTTTTGGCATTACTACTTACGATAGTTTGATTAAAATAGCACAGCAGAACTGGGCTGAAGAGAAGTTCAGTCAGTTTAAAAGGTTTAGGCCAGTAAGCTGGTGAAATCTAGAATTAATATAATGAAATATCTGGTTAAGCAAAAATGTCTATTTGTTTCTTTTAAGCCGCCTTGTACCTCTTACCTTGTTGGATGAGGATGATTTCGAAGATGGCGGCGCTGGACATGTTTCCTACACCGTGGCGTCTTCTGTTTTGGACGAGAGGTACAACTTCTTTAACTTCTATCTTTTCTAGAGACTGTAGAATGTTTTTATAAAGATAAACGCTTTTATTCAGTTTTAAAATGTAAATTCTTGTTATTTTTGAAATAAATCACTATTCTGGATTTTATTGTGCTTATGTACTGTTCGATATTTTAGAGGGGAACTACATCCTGTTGCTCTTGTCGTTGGCCCGCCAGCTCTTGAACTTCCGCCTATTCCACCTGCCAGTTTATCTACAGTACCTCTACCATCTAGTGCTGCTGAAGGGACAATGTGAGCTGTCTTAGAGAGCAACTCTTTTCTTAAACTGTTTTCACGCCGTATACTAGTCGAGCCATTATTTGCACCAATTTGATGCGATATCATGTGTACTTTAGCACTGTCATTGGTGACATCGCTATGGCTGCCAATCAACGCTCGAGAGCATCAAGTCTCCCTCTCACACAATTGACCAGCGTCGTAACTGCTTGTCCAACTAGTATACTGTCCACTGAAGGTGCTCCATCAGCAACTGTTCAAGCAGACTGTGCTAGTATGCAAGTGAAAGACGCAATTAGTCAGCCACTTCCAACGCCCGCTATTCAAAGGAGTCAGGGTGTGTCTCCACTATGTGTTACATGCCTATGTCATTTCTGTTCCAATTTAGTGGTACCCCCAATGCCTATGTGTGCTGTGCCGGTCACATTTGAAGCTGGGGTGATGGGAGAAAGGATAGGCACTGTCATTAGACCAGTCGCGCTGGCTGATCCGCAAGACATGGTGTCAAACAGTTTAGATAAAATTGTGGACGTTAAGGAGAGGCTTAATGAAGCTGAAGGTAAGGATTGTTATTTTCCATTTGCTGTTTCTCCATATATCTATGGAAGTCTGATGGATTTCTATGTAAGTACTGCTTCTTAATCATCTCCCAATCCTCTTTTTTTAGGCGGGAAGTCATCAACAGCAGTCAGTCAGCAATTGCTTGTTGAGCTTCGTATTGCTGAAAGAGAAATGGATCTTCTTGATCCTCGCACTCAGGTGTCCTTTAAGAGTTCACGTGCTATCTTTTGGTTTGAAATCTACTTGTGTTTAGGCCTCCTGTTTGTTGCGAGAACTGCGTCAAGTGGACAAGCAGATTGAACAAATTGAGGCAGCCCGTCCTGTTGAAAATTGCTGAGCGCGTCTAGTACAAATTTTCCCCTCGACCTATGCTTTTTGAATCTTCTTTAGTTTTTCATAATTAGCTTGAGGAACTGGTGTTTGTGCAATTTTTATTTGTATTCCATTCCTAATCATTATT